GGTGGCTATAAAACGACGTGCGACAACGGAAACAATTAACATACCCTAAATAGATTCGTGCGTGCGAACGGTCTCTCGCCGCTCGTACGCGCGCGACTCCCGGAAATCACGTGGGGTGCGCAGATAAAGGGGGCGGGGGGGAAGCTAAACGACATTAATCGCGCGAGAAGTCGCTTTATCCCTGCGAATAACTTTCCGAAACCAGACGACGATTACGGCGTCTGGTGTGTCCGGCGGGGGGGCCCCGGGCACCGTATCCTCGTGAAAGAGAGCCGGCGCGGCCGCGGCACGTGCTGACATATGGGTTTTCGGGGCTTTGCCTTGTCCGATCTAGTCGCGGCCCCGGGGTCTTTGTGCGGGGGTGGTAAATGGGATGTCATCGTGTTAAATGGCCCCTGATGCCCAGTGACAGCCCCGGGCGCGGCGCCCATTGAAAAGCGCCGAGGCCGGGCCAATTCTTGCGGCTAATTCGCGCCGTTTATACGTTTAATTGCCCCTGCCGGGCCACCTGGACCACCGTGCGCGCGCGAGAGAACATTAGGAGCGAGGCTCCCGTTTAACGGGCGCGTTCAGCATCTCGGGCATGTGCCGTTCGCGAGACGTGGCTCGTCTCCCCCCCCCTCCCGCGCTCTCTTTCTCGCTCTCTCGGCGGGGTTATTGATTTACGAGATTGCCTCTTTTCGGTGGATAGGAAACACACTCGGACGTGTTTAAGATTGCCGGGCGGGCTATCCGATAATGAATGAATCAACGCTTTAGCTGTCGGCCACGAGGTAGCGATGATGGCGGCGACAACGAAACGATATCACAGCCGATCCGGAGCTGTTATCAGCGCGCTCATATCGTAGACTTGTACAAATAGACTAGAGGAGTTGAAGATTACATTAAAGTGAGAGAGCAATAGTCCGAGTTAGAGATCCTGTAATCAGGGACTGGCCATAAGAGTGTACAACTTTTCATTGGTCTGCCCAGAGCAATGGTTACACTATGCTGAAGACCACGGTATAACTAGTAGGTACACTCTGTTATTTGTTTCGTTTTGCGTCGATTCCTTCTGCGCATCCGACATTGTTTTGGGCAGACCAATGAGAGAAAAGTGTGGTCTCGATGAGTACATATTATACATACACACACACGTCGCTAGATCCTGCCCGGGTGTATGGCGGAATATCACGTGATCGCAAAGATCAAAGGGGCCGGCAGAGAGTGGACCTGCTAGTTACACTATGGTTATACTATAGGGCTTGTTTTCTGTTCCTGCACTGGTGAACTAGTGCAGTAAGCTAGAATGAGAAAAAATATACTTGTCTTACTCCAATTTATTGCACTAGTTCACCAGTGCAGGAACAGAAAACAAGCCCATATTATAGTCTTCAGCGCGCCTATAAGGACACGCAAGTCTATCTGTATAAGTCTGTGGCTCATATAAGCGGTTGTCTTTTTCTTGAAGATCTTTCTAAGCGACGATTCGATCGAGAGGCTCGAGACCTTTGCGGAATCGCAGCGAACTCTGAATTTATTCCGCCGAGACACGCGCGAAGCGAATTAAGCGGAATACCGGCGACTCCCTCGAGTCGCTCCGATCTGTCTGCTTCACCGTAATCGCGAGAGGTAAAAAACGCGCGTTGTTGAAACCGCGCAACTCTCATCTTATTATTTTAAAGATGATGCAACGAGAGAGAACGAGAGGGAGAGAGAAAAGTGCGCGCGTCCGGAATTAATCCCCGTTGCTGGTAGGAGGAAACGATGCGCGCTCCTCGTCAAAGTGTCGTCGTTATCAACGTCCTGCCCGTTTCCTCGCCTGACGGGTCGTAAATCGCGTGGTATCGACGGCTCGCGCGCGAGAGCGAGAAAAAAAGGGCGACGCGACCGAGAGCGCGGACGGGAAAAGGAGAGAAATTGATGGAGCGCCGAAACTCCGTTCTCGGGGGAGGGAAATAGGCGGCTGTGTACTGAAAATCGTGCGCGAGCGATAGCTATAAGGACCGCCGTGAAATCTCCCTTTAAGAAAGGAACGGCCGATCATTAGGGGAAAAGTAGAAATAGACGCGACGATAAATCTCTTGAGCTCGACGGACGTTTTATTTCGCGTCACCTCGGCGTTACATCGCGAAAAGATTTGCATGTATATTATAATAGTAGCCTTACCCAGCCTCGCTAGGGCTTCCTTTCTCCTGAATCACCTTGTTTTGATTATCATTGTTGTTCAGTATCTTTTTTAAATTTCCCTTTATATACGGGGTGTCTCATTTTAAATGATCTACTCGAATATTCTCCAAAAATATGAAAGATACGGAAAAACGTTTCAAACGAAAGTTGTTTGGTACGAAGGGGGACATATGGTGGTGCCATTAGTTTGACCTTGACGAGTTGCTTGAAGGTCACGTAAAGGTCACCTTCAATTTTTTTAGTGGGACCCCCTATTGTTTATTATACTGTCTTATTCTACTCATTAATATGAACAACTTTTGTCCGAAACATTTTTTTATTTGCCCAATACTTTTTGAGATATTTCAGAGAAAATTGATAACTTTTTCAATGTTTAGCTTATGATATCTCGATAATTGTCAGAGGGAAAAGTGGTACAGGACTTTTTTACTTGATTTGGCCTCAGGAATATGCTGTTGTAATAGTGTTTCAATTATTAAAAATTTTTGTGTATTGTAACACATAAAATTTACATACACAAAAATTTGCAATAATTGGAGCACTATTGCAACAGCATATTCTTGAGACCAAATCAAGTAAAAAAAAGTCCCGTACTACTTTTCCCTCCGACAAACAGTTAGCGAGATATCATAATCTATACTAAAACTTGGACCTTAAGTTCCAGCGTCGTGGACACAGGCCTTAAGTAACGTAATTTTTGGAGAAATATATCTTCCATCGTTATTGCCAAGTTCTTCCCAGCTTCATCTTAAATGTTCAATTCCCAGGCGATAAAAGTCTCTCGGTTTTGAGCTGAGGAATAAACCAGGCTCCCCTTTCACACCGCGTTATTTACGTTCGATTTAAGCGATTTGTTTCAACAGTTTTTAGACTCTTGCAATCTTAATTCGTTTCTTTTTCTTTCGAAGGGGTAAAAATATTTTCCCGAAAAGTGTCGCACGCGGGCTCTGTACACAGTTACACGGGAAATCAAGTGGAAGGGCAAAATTAATTATCAATTGTGACTTCTAAATATATTAAACTTTTTGTTACCTGTATCCAGCATCCTTTTTCCCTTTGTTTAGTTATCAATTTAAATCCATTATTTATTCCGTGACAGCCAAGTGGGCAGGACACACTGCGTAGTGGAAAGAAAGATGCGAAGGACGGAGAGACAATTATCCAAATGCTAAAATATCTGTTTGCAGAATGCAAAAATAATTAAAAAGTAATTATTTATATGCGAAGGTGGAAACGCGCGAGTTATATAGCAGCGTTGATTAATTAGGCATCGAAGGCAGGTAACATTGGCAAAATCAGGCGCGGAATGAGCAAGTAATTAGCGAGATGAGGACATGAAGCGAGGAAAGAAACGAGGTAGAAGGGGCAAAATGGCGGACGCGGGCGCCGCACGCCCCGGCCGCGATCTCCAGGAAAATGAACGCCATAAATAAGGTCGGCCGGCCAATAATTCCGTCGCGATCGAGCGACGAGAGTTTTTCATCGGGGCCGCGCGAGAAAGAGTGGCACAGGGGCGGGCGAGCGGGAGGGAGGGGGCGCGGGGGGGAGGAGGGACGGAGGGAAACGAGTGAGGAAAAGCGGAAACGCGCGGCGGCGCGGGAGGGCGGACTGGGTGGCGTTCGGGCAGTTTGTAATCAAATTGAAAATTCCCAGCGCGGAGGAGGCCGATGAAAGAGTAACCAACGGACGCGATCGAAACGGGTCGCCCACGGGTCGCCGTCACGTGACGACGGATAAGCGGAGAACCGGGGAGTATATTTCCCGCGCCGCTTCTCCGCATTGTGCGCCGCGCGGCGCGTTGCCTAACATCCACCCTCTCGCTCTCTCTGTCTTCTTCCCCGCTCCCCCGCCACGTCCACGACCACCCTCGCTCGCTGGATTTCCCTGGGGGGCGGTGGGCGCCGATGGGGGCCGCCGCGTGTAAAAAGTTCGTGCGAGCAATTCAGCATCGCCGAGGCTCCATTAGAGGCGCGCGCGCGCGCGCGCGAGGAGGGGGGTATTGGAGTCCTGTATAATTTCGATAAACTCACCGATCTCGACGCTATAATCACGCGGAGATGATCCCTCATTTTTATTTCCTATTGTCACAGGGTGCGTTTCCGTAGGTCTCGTTGGTCTCGTAACAACGGAGCTCGCACGCGGAATACATGATTATATGTATGTATTTGGATTAAGTATATAGTATACACGGTCGTGGTCAGAAAAGTGGTCCTTTGCTCTAATAACGCGTTACTGCGCATATCGCGAGCGAAAGTTACAATCTCGCGCACGCTGGACTGTATTTCCGAAATTTATCATAAAACGTCGGACAATCTTTCTGATCGCGACTGTACACAAGTGTACATACATATGATTAAAAGATAATAATGGATTGCATCAAAACACCAATCGTTCTGTCGTTGCGGAATCCACTCATTGCCAGAAAGCTGGGAAAAATGTATATGTATATCTAGCGAGGGCAAATACTTTGATTGATGTATTTTTGCCTTTGATATCGAAATGAACGAGTTCGTTAAACGAAAAACACCGCGGAAACTAAGCTTACCTAATATATGCAGTATGAGCCGCTTTTAAATATATCAAAATAGTTACGTTGGGCGAATATCAAATAAATAAAACGAGGCACTGTCTCCAATAAACTTGAGCGGCTATTTAGCGATCAGGTCGGGAGCGCCACCTATTGAAAGCAATATTATTTTCTTGTTGGTAATGTCGACAAAGTGGCTAGTTGCTTTATTGAATGTCGATAACCGGTAAAAATCGCAATTTCGAAAATCTGAAATTTCATTTCACGAAAATCTTGAAATCGACAAAAAATTGGAGAAAGATAATCCGCAAGAAAGTTGCACTATTTATTACCTCGAGAATTTTCCAAAATTCCTACACATTTTTATGTTTCCAGCTTTCTAAGAATTTATTTTAAGGACTGCGACTCCGCAGATGAAAAAGTAAATCAGTAAATGGATTCCCTACGCAGACATCTTCATTAAACTCTTATTTTGTACAATAATATTATGTAGCGTATATTGCAGACGTGTCTATACAACAAAATCATATTTAAAAAAAAGTTTACTTTAACAATGACCACTTAAGCTGTTCCTTGGCAGATTGCAATACCTAGAGCAAAAAAACCAATTTTCATATATGTGAATCGAAGTTACAATTTACAGCTCAAGAGGAAAATAATATATCGGGACAAAGTATTACCTGTGCCACTGTTTGTTCCCCGAGTGGAATGTCATCCGTTCGCAGTGCCACCCTCTGCACCACGCTTGACGCGTCCGCATCCAAAATTATACTGCAAACATAATCCCGTTAGCTCGTCATTGTGTTTACGATTAGCCAAATAACTATTTTATTTACCCGCCATCGCAAATCTCATCCATCGCCAACATCACTATGTCCAAGCTGTCCAATACCGCTCTCTTTTCTACGTTCTTCCTGAGGATCTGACTGACTGAGTCGTACAGGCAGTTCAAGACACTCATTAAGATCAACTGAAACAAGTGCAATAAATGAATATACGCCTCCCCTTGATGATATCGAGCCGCTCAACTGTTTCACAATTATACGAACTTCATTTTCCTGCGAGCTGCCCATGACGTAGAAGAACAAATCGACGTTACTTCTGTAGACACAAGTCAGACCGTCCAACATAATGATCTCTGCGTTTGCCCGGTGCGTTTTACTGAACAAATTCTTCTCAAAAGTCTTTTGCTCCTTCGACGTTGGAAATACATTCTTGTCGTAGTACTTTGCCAGTATCCTGTTGCCATCGTTGTCAAGGATGGCCATTCCTTTGACCGTATACAGCGTAGGCTCCTAAAATAATTGTCTACGTTCAACTTCGTGATTAAAGAAATTACACGTGTCCACAGAACCGAATATATGACAGAATGTGTTACACAGTGCGGGATTTAGGTTAATAATATTAACGAACCAAGTCCAAATTGGTTTTTTCCTTCCTTTTCTCAAGGATGGCACGAGAAACAAAACTGACAAAACAAATTAGAAATAAATATTTATTATACCATACGATTTGTTGGAAATTGAGTTAGATTCGTTGCGCCACGTTCAGGTTATGTCACGTAACTTACAAATATTCACCGAGACTCTCTTGTGTAAATATAACGGTGGTGTTAACACGAATACAACAAGATCATGAGGTTTCTTAAATAATATTTATTGCAAAACAATTGACATTTGTCTTAAAAACCTACCAGCGGTTGACCGTCCATGTTTACGTCAAGTTTACCCGATTTTGACGTGTCCACCAGGGCTGCCACTAGCACTAGTGCCCAAGTATGAGCACAGATTAATAGAAACCTGAGAGCGGCCACCGGAAGTCTACCAGTTCAGAAACAGATGCGCCCCCTGACAAAGTGGACGTCAACTATACGTCCGTTCACTCGATAACGATACACAAGCTATGGTTCATGTCCAAACTTCTCAGATGGATGTGAGAGTCAGATGAGATAAACAAGCGAATCAATTAATCGTTCTGACTTTGTATTATTTAGAACAATTAATAGATTGATTCACTTATTTCACCCGGGCCTTTGGCGATCTGTCTATTAATCCAGGGGTGGGCAAAATGCTGCCCGCGGGCAACGGGCGCATCTCGACCAGCAGTGTACGATCGACAAATGGTTGGCGAGATTACGTTTGGTAATCGAGATAATATTTCATCCATATCTGTCCACCCTATATTGGTGTCGCTGTCAATAACCGTGACAAGTTTGTATATCACGAGACACATTAGTATCTCGCACCAAGTTGCTCCGATTCCATCCATAATCAACAATTTATGTAATCCCATTGTGAATGCGTATAAATGTAAATTGCATGTATTAAACTAAACAAACATTTCAGAAACCGCAAGACCGTCGTTAGCGAAACGCTCGCGCGTCATCGCGATAACGTACAGTTTCACAATGTTTCCATTAAAAATGCAAGTGTTATCGGAACCCCTGTTGGCGGAGTCGGAGCATTCGAAACGTACGTTTCTATTTGAACGAAAGGAAAAAAAAAAGGAAACGTCCGACGATAAGAATTTGACGTAAATACTCGACGCTGAAGCCGATAAGAATCAATTCGGCATGTAGGCACGTCGAGTAAACGAACGAGGGGGCGGGAGAGGGGCAGATACTTCGAGCAGGGCGGACACAGCCCGCGGCGATTAACTCCTTATTTCTTTATTACGCAACAACCTGTTTGAGCCGCACGAAGGGAATCAATCCGGACCGGCTTCGTCCGACGCGAGGCGGTCGACTCGACGCGCACCAAATCATCCCGTTCAGTATTAGCTCGGCCTGCGTACCGCTAACACACACTCTTCTAATCTTCACGAACCCGCCCGAGGAAGAGACACGATGAACGCGTCCATACTCAGATCCGCCTTCCGCGACGTAAGAAACTGTCCTTTGTACATACCGTTTGATTTGTGAAACCCGGAACTGTGCAAAAAACCGCCACTCGCCCAGCGAGTCGCCTACGAATGGACGGGGTGTATCTTTTTCTTTTTTTCCTTTGAATCGAATTCAAGGTTTCGAGCTGAGAAATATCGCCTGTTTGTATGTCCTACGCTCTACTTGTGCAACCACCAGTGCAGCATTAATCTTAAATTACCTCTTGTCTCTTTATAATTTGCAATGCTAGATAAGGATGATGTCGAACCGAGATTAAAGTTAAACTACGTTGGCGTAAACGGGCATTACACGCCCAGAGAATAGTAGCGTTGTGTACATTTAAGTGTAATTATCTTTTCGCAAAGCGTCCTGTAATTATCCATAAGCACCATTCGGGTGGTATGTTTCTATTAATTGATTTATCGACCCCAACGCAAAGTACAGTTTTGAAGTAATAAAGGTCTGCAAATTAAGATCCTTTTAAGGGATAAAAACGCGGTTTATTTACCATATCAAATGCAAAACTCGGATGTACGGTATATTATCATGAAATAGAACTATACTCTGCGTTTGGGGCCGATTTTACGTGCGTCACTCTGTACACCACTCGTAAAATATATTGCTAAAGTGCCGGCGAATGTATTTTACGTAAATTTCGGAGGACAAGACCAAACACGCACACATTTGGCTTATCTGCGCCTACGGTTGTAAAATATTTTCTATTTATCGGCCTGTGCTTGAGTCACGAAGATCTTTTGTCGTTCAGTATTTTATCAGATACGCGACTATGTAGAATTCTCCACTAAATTAGAGATAAAAATACCAATGCGAGAAAAATATGTCCGCGAGTTAATTCGAGTACATATATCTTTATTTGCTTTTGTCTTTCGTATGCGCGCTATTATATAAAATATGGGATCAGCCGCGTTTATGTTCTTGTTGAACGTGTTCAGTTTATACAATTGAACGCCACGTCTCCTAGTCTTAAGGTCAAATAACTTGTCATGATGATTGGTAGACCGCACGCTTCAATTTCCTGCACGCACGAGAGAGAGAGAGAGAGAGAGAGAGAGAAAGAGAGAGGGGGGGGGGTCAAACATATCTATTCCTTAACATGTGGCGTTAAGGAATAGATAATAAATAATGTTTTCCGATGCGACGCGCAAACGAAAAGAAACATTTAGAATAAAATATATGTACGTTTTGTAGATCCCGCAAAAGTTGACGCGAACGCGAAAACTGCATTTATGCGCGTCAAGACTCAATCAGAACCCAAGTCCTTTAACGCAATTTACGGACGATGAGATTATGATGAAAGAAACCGGTAAGTGCTTATATCTTATTCATCAGAATTCAATGATAAACGCACACTTTATAGATAGTCGGTGTGCGGAACTTGTTTACTATCTTGTCACGTATCTCAATTCATGTATTTTAATTACGTTTTTTTTTTTAATTCTACGTGTTCGCAGTCGCTAAACTGGCCAAGGAGGAGATCGCTCCTCTGGTACGAAAGATGGAAAACGAGGGCAAAGTAGATGATGGCGTTTTAAAGACGTTGTTCGAGAATGGAGTGAGTTTTTCAGATTTTCGGCCTAAAAAGAAGCCTAAAAAACTACTCAAGTTATCAGAATGAGTTCAAGGTATCTCGAGGGGAAAACCGCCGGCCAAAATCTTGTACATACACGAATGCCTTTTGGTGTATTACTTTTTTTTTACAATTATTGGGCAATTTACAAGTATTGGGCCATTACTTTATCTCATTTATCTTGTTTTATTTTATTTTATCTTTATAATGCCCCAGCAAAGCCTAATGCCCAAACTAATGTCCAAACAATGCCTAGTAATGCAGCAAATCTGTACACCACAATGCCCTCAGCGATTTTCTCATCGAGGTATCCTACGTTTTATTCATGTCACATATGCTACGAGTAAAACTGTGGAAGGAAACTACGTCGTTTGAATACCAGTTAATGTATATACATAACAGGACAAAGTCAACATTTTAATGTACTTATATTTGAGCCGAGTTTAATAATTACGTTTGCTACGAGACACGTGAATATTCTCGTTCATAGACCTCGCATTTATAGTTTCTATGTACGTAGAAGTAAAAAAATTCTAATTTAAAAATCTATCTAAAAATATCGTGGACGCGTATTTAGGCAACATTAAACAGAGACTACGGTAGACGCGGAGCAGTAAAGAGTTGAAATGTACGGACAGTGAACGCGTTAATATCGTTGAAAGTGATCGTAATTTGTATACACAGCCGGTTTTACCACTTGTGCACGAAAAATACTCGGTTGTGTTGCGAGACATGTAATTAATAGAAAGAGTGGATATCCCAACCGATGAAATTAAAAAAGATCAATAAGCCCGACGATAAACTTAATTTCCCGACAATGTCAATTGATAAGGATTTGAAAAGAAAACTCAACTTGTCGCTCAAATTGAACAATACTTGTTCCTCATTTGTACTCATAAAACACGTTCGCATTGATAAAGTCTGGGATATTCTGTATCCATCAATCAGTTTTGACGAGAAAGTTAAGTCTAGAAGTTGCTATCAATTGCAAGAGTTTCAGTTAAGTGAAATGTGCTTATGCCGATTCTAACAAAAATTCGTTTATCAGACCGCGATTAAATTGCATAAATGCGATAATATTAACAAGATCGCGACAACATGTTTGGCCTACTAATCGCATAAAAATGTACTAAATTAGAAAGTCGGAAAAGGAGATAAACTCCTTCGTTACCAGCTGCTCGAACACGAGATGCTCTTATCGCCCACACGTAGAGATATTTTTTTATCATTGGCGCGCACAAGGCGGAGATATTTCTTATTGTACACGTAACGTTATCTTGTTTTTTTTATGCAACTCCTAGCGTGGAAGTACACCTTATCAGTATCTTGTTTTTATGCAAATCGTAGCAAGGCCGATTTCTTTCTGATATAAATAATCTTTTATTTTACATGTATAAGCCACGCGTTTCAGTGCAACTTTCTCATGATACGTGAACAAGGCCAACCTTGAAAGATTTCTTGCCACGTTCCTGTTAAGAGGAAAAATCAATTCTATAGAATTTTATTAAATGTCTAACAATAAGATCGCAATACCAGCCTTTTGCAACGCAGTACCGATCTTTTCAACCGTTATTCTGCGAAAAACGGTCTCCTCGCGTGTGACCGACACGGTCGTTCATATAACGCGGTAGAACGGACGGTGGAAGAAAACATATTGCGCCTCTAGAGACAGCTCCGTAGTATTTTAAACAAATTCTGAATGCTCTCTTTAGATACGAATTAATGTAACGACGTGATATGTTATTTTAACATGTCATTTACTAATTTCAGTTGATGGGCCTCGAAATTCCAACAGACTACGGCGGCGCAGGCTGCAATTTTATGAGCACGATTTTAACCGTGGAGGAAGTCGCGAAAGTCGACGGAGCCGTGGCCGCTCTCGTTGACATCCACAACACTTTAGTCAACTCGTTGATCATCAAAGTTGCCTCTAAGGAACAGAAGCAGAAATATCTGCCTAAACTAGCACAGAATTACGTAAGTTGTTACACGTCTTCGTTACGGAGGGACATTGGACGCGTAGACGGGGAAAACTTATTTGACGGCGGGACTCTTCCAGGCCGGCAGTTTTTGCCTGACTGAACCCGGTTCCGGATCCGACGCGTTTTCTCTCAAGACCGAAGCGAAGAAGGACGGCAGCGACTACGTGATAAACGGGACGAAGATGTGGATCTCGAATTCCGACATCGCAGGCGTATTCTTGGTTTTCGCCAACGCAAATCCTTCCGCGGTGAGTAACATTCAGTTACATGTGCAAACAGAAATGCACGGGGTCGTTACGTAACGTCTGTTTCAATTAAACAGGGGTACCGCGGCATCACGACTTTCTTCGTGGAGCGCGACACGCCCGGTTTAACGGTAGCCAAGCCTGAAGACAAGCTAGGCATCAAGGCATCCGGAACTTGCATGGTCCATTTTGACAACGTCAGGGTATGTGCCGTACAAATAAAAAAATCAATCTCACGAGCACGCGCGTGCGCGAGCATTCCTATAAAATGCATTGCAACTCTTTTTCTAGATACCTGAAAGCAACATCTTGGGTGAATTTGGGCACGGATATAAGTATGCCGCTGGGTTTCTGAACGAAGGTAGAGTAGGCATAGGTGCTCAAATGATTGGCATAGCGCAGGGATGCTTGGACGCGACCATACCGTATACGCTGGAAAGGAAGCAGTTTGGAAAGGACGTTTTCTCATTCCAAGTACGTTCGTTACTTTACGAAAGAGATCCCCCGTGTGTTTCTAAGATTTAAAGGATAATCACCGTTTTCAGTCGATGCAACATCAAATAGCTCAAGTAGCAACAGAGTTGGAATGCGCCAGGTTGCTGGTTTACAACGCTGCGAGATTAGTGGACGCTAAAAAGGACGTGATGAAGGAAGCGGCTATGGCCAAATTAGTTGCGTCCGGTGTGTAATTCGCTTATTTTTCGTTAATTCAAGGCTACATGCGACGAAACGATAATGTGCGTTATATCTTGTTTACAGAAACTGCGCTGCGCGTCACTGCAAAGTGCATAGACTTCATGGGCGGCGTCGGTTTCACGACGGACTTTCCGCAAGAGAAATTCTTCAGAGACTCGAAGATCGGTACCATTTACGAAGGTACAAGCAACATGCAGCTGTCAACGATCGCAAAGTGTATACGTAAGGAATATTCGTAAATCATTATATAAGCTTTTATGTAGCTGTTGTATAAGCTAAAACTGTGATGTACGTTTAGCTTATAGATCGCAGCATAAGATCACTTCTAAGATAAAGCGTATGTACTGTTTTCCCTACATTGTAAGAATATATTTTTGTATTTTTATAACTCGGTTAGCATCAAGTGTATAAGAGACCCTCCAATTCTAAAGCAAGTTCTGAGATTCGAAAAGTGCGGAAATTTAACGAAACAAATTCACTACAGTAATATGTATGGATAAGAGAGATGTATGAAACCGTGATACGTACAATAAAATGAAACGATTTGACAATCTTTAATGAAAATCACTACTTAGATCATCTTTGTACAAATACAATAACTATAGACATAGCGCAGAGAATAACAACAGTCACGCTAACAACAATTTAAAAATTTCTACTTTAATCCACTTTATTTTGGATCATGAGGTAGTTTGAAACCCACGAGGTCCGCAGTTTCCTTTATGCTACGTTCACCTTTACCAGCGTATTGCTTATGAATATCCTTACACGCCTGTTGAGACCTCAGGTAGCATAGATACATCTCTGCTAAATTCGTCAATTCTTCCCGCGCTTTACACAAAACTTCGGACGTTTCTTTATGAGCATGCGCTTGCTCTATGACATACTGTAACATTGCGTTATCTCTCGTACTCTTATTTTGCGAGACCCGGCGCAGCTCTTGCACGAGGGAGCGGACGATCCTAATGTTACTATTCATTGTCGCTGTATTCTGTAAAAGTATATTCAAGTTATTAGCCGCGCGACTGACGAAGACACGAATCGCTCTACGTTACGAAAATAGTTCCGTAAGAGCTAAAGAGGATAATTACAGTGGGTCAAATGCTACTGCGTGGCTGTGACAAATTCGACGTCCTTCGTTAAATACCGCGGTTCCTCTTTGGTGCTCCAGAAACCCTCCGGAACCTTAAGCAGCTCTTGCCTGGTAAAGATATGAATGTTAAGGTCGTTGAAAACTTCCTCGTGCACGAAGGAATTTTCCAATCGAATCTCTGTAACATAAGGTCGAATGCGTAGTATGTAGCCCGCTGTGTTCAACAGGTCTCTACGTAAGCAATCGTCGACGGTGGCCGAGAGACTATTGGCGAACAGGATGCAGTCGCTCAGCCCGTCGTCCCAGTTCGCGTAGAGAAAATTATTGGTCAGCTGCCGCGAGCAGTGCGGCATGAACATGAGGGTCGTCCTATCACGCTGGATGACGTGCTTGCCCTCCTCGTTCGCCTCCGCGACCTCGAGGCCCAAGGTGCGCAGAGCCTGCACCTCCTCGGGGCGGAACGCCGGGTCGTACGCGTGCACACGGACCGGCTCGTATCGCGCCCTCAGGCAGAGAAGGAGCGCCAGTTGGCATCTCGACGACCTATACCGCGAGAACTGTCCTAACCCGTAGCAGACTATCTCGGATATACCGTTGGAGCCCAGAGTGGCCAGGCACTCCGTCAGCCGGCTAGAAACGCACCTGGTAAACGACGTGTCCTTGATCTCGACCACTGTCCTGTCTAGCGTGCTGAAAAAGCCTTACCATTAGAGGAGAGTTCACGAAGGTGCGCTCCGTTTCACGCGTGATGCGCGTAACGCATCATTTATCCTTGTTAATCGCCCGATGTTAAAGATTAATTAACAATAAGAGTCTTTCATCTTGTCGCCAGCAATATTTAAATAAAAGAGAGTCGGCTACTGACGTTCGTCTTTTCAAGACACGACTCTCGAAGCAAACTTGGTTTCAATTGTCGACCATGAGTTTTACAAAATTGACCGCGGTAACATTCTCGTGAAATGCGGCCACGTCTTACGCGATACTTCATGTTCCCGCTACCAACAAGATTCTACCCAAGTTTACCTGAGAAGGAAGCCTCGAAACGGAGCCGAAACGTTGTAGATAAATAAATACATTGCCAGTTTGGTCAACATAGCATTTTTATCTCTTTTATTAAAGATCAATGATGCATCATGCGTGAAACCTCTCTGGTGAAACGGAACGCGCTCCGAGAGTCGCGATGAGGTTAGGACGCGGGGGCTTAGATCGTAGGCTTAGATCGAAATGACGAAGCGCAACTGCGACGTCGCTTACCGAAGAAGGAGCTCGCGATCGACCTCGCGATCCTGCTCCACGGTCACGCCCGGCGTAGCCGCCTTCCCGCTCGAACTCCGCCTTCCGCCGCGACGTTTTCCGCGACGAGTCACCAGCACGAAGTTGTCCGCCTCTGACATGACTGAACGTGGCGCCGCACGTCGTCACTTGCGTCGCTTTACGCCAGGCGACGCCACCCACCGCGCTCGCCCCTTTATATTTTTGTGTATATGCGAGAGAGAGCATATAGGAAGAGACTCTCCTTTTTTTTTGTAATTATAGACGTCCACAATGGCGTCCCGTCGAAATGCACCGGAGTCGATTTGTATACAGGGTGTGTCCTAATACCCGTATGTCCCGTAGATGGTAGATAGACCGGAGCAAACTGAATAGAAAAGTCCTATACCATTTTGCAAAATTCGCAATAGTTATCGAGAAATTAATTTTAATGTCTGAGCGAATGAGAGCGTAGAAAGCGGCAGGCCGGACTCGGCAGGCAACGGTGGGGCATCATCTAATAGCGACTACGTTTCCACCGAGGGTCAGAGTCGGGCTAGAGTCGGGTCAGAATCGGGTTGGGG